TCTTTGCCTGCTGTGCCTTATAACCCCCGCCTCCGGCGGCAGCCGGCAGCCTCGCTGCATTCCAGCAGCCTCGCGTCAAGTGGCCCTAGCTGCATCGTGGTGGCCAGGGCTGGGGCTCTGTATCCTCCCTGCGGCTCTGCCGGCGGCCCCGGGTGCCTGAGAGGCACCACACTGGGATGGTCTCCCATGGGAAGTGCCGTAGCCCATGTGCCTGAGCTGCTGGGAGCTCAGGGTGGCTGCCTGGAGCGGGGACTGCCTTTGGGATGCTGCTGCAGAGCTTGTCCCTGTCCTCAGCAGGATGGCGCGGGGCTCCCTTCTCCTGGTGGCATAGGAAGAAGGCTCTGTGGACATATTGGTGTGAACGAGTGGGAGATGGCTTGTGTCCAGGAAAAAATGGCATGAGGCTGGGGGTGGCTTCCTGGAGAGGGGGGACATCCAGTGGCACGGTGTGGATGAGGCACTAGAGCATGTTCCTGCTGTAGCTGTCCCTCAATGTCTCCTAAGCACTGGTGGTAAAGGCTTGTGTGCTCCAGGTGCTGGGAGCGTGGCCCCAGGACCTGGCCAATTTTGGGGTGCTGGAGTGGCCACAGCTGTGCAAAAGCAAGGCTGTGGGTAATGCAGCTAAAGGGCTGACCTTGCAGAAGGGGAGGGTCAGCCTCCCCAGCTTCTGGGGAGGATTTGGAGCAGTCTCTTAAGAAAAGCCCATCGCTGGAGACCTACCGGAGCAGCCTCGCTGGAGGTGGGTACTCGTGCCTTTGCATCTAACATTTCTGATGTAACCTGACCCTTGCTGGGCTACAGGGCAGTGTTTGGCTCCGCTTGGGACTCCCTTTCAAGAGCTCTTATTTAAAAGCAAACATGGCCAGGAGATGTGGATGTTGTAAGACCAATGCTGACCTCCGGGCAGCGCTGGAGCTGTGGTAGGAAGAGGCAGGTGTTACTGCCTGGCTTCTTTAAAGCCTTGGTGCTAAGTACCGGGCTGTGCTCGCACTAGGTGTGTGTCTCTTCTGGGAGACGCAGCTGTGTACGGACTGCTTCAGAGCCACCGAGGACTTGAGCACTAAATGGGTTTGTCCTTGTCCCTCCCCCGTCCTGCGTGGGAGGCTATGCTGGGATCCTCCCTCTCTAAGAGATGGCCTAGATGGTCTTGTCCCTCCTGGCACAAATCCTGTTTTCCATGGCTCTCCTCCATCTCCGCCGGGTGTTTGGACTGGGGACATCCCCAGAGGTGGCAGGGACGGGGAGGGGAAAGTGTTTTCTGCAGGGCCTCCAGCAGCGTGACCCCACTGGGCTGTCCTAGGCGAGAGCTGCTCCCTGCCCCACTGCCCCGCTTCCCTCCGTGCGTGTGTGTCCAGTTAAGATCAGTCACCCTGGGCGAGATGGGGCTGCTCTCGCCTGGTATCTCGTCTCGAGTGGCTGGTAGCAGAGTCTAAGAGCGAGCATAAGAACAAGGTATTCCTGGAGATCTGCTTCTGCTGTATCTTCTCCAAGCTCCTGCTGAATGTGCGGTTTGGCCCAGGCAGTTCCTGATCTAGCCCTGGACACACTTTTTTTTTGTCCTGTGGCTTTTCCTCTGTGGGGAGGCTGAATATCTACATGGATCTGGTGTTTGGTGGCAGGGAGTTGAAGCAGGGCAAATATATTTAAGCAGAAGCCTACCCCGTCTTGGCATGTTGAGTGCAAGGACTGGAAGCCTGGATTCATCAGCCCTGGGTGGTCCTAGTGGCCTCTCAAAGCCTGCAGGACTTGGGCTGTAAAGGGGTGACTAGAGAGTCACAGTTCGGTTAATCTACTGGAAGATGCTTGTCCAGACCCTGTTGCCCTCATCTACAGTTTCCTCTTTTTGGGAACGGGGGAGGAGGCTGGACCAGGGCTGCCCACAGCGCGCAAGATGCTCTGACTGGCAAGTTGCCTCCTGCTTTTCTCCGCTGGGATAACCCAGATCTCCTTTGCTTTCTGATTGCTGCTGATCCCATGCTTACACCCGGTCGCAGAAGCAATCTCCCTCTGGCTTACCTCACTCTGTCCCTCGAATGTGTCGCTCAGGTCTCTCACCAGCCTCACCCTCCCATCCCTGAATAACTTTGTCTCACTTTCCCCTTACCCTTTTCTAGATCATTATGGATGTGCTGAATTGCAGAGATCTCAGAAAACCATCCGCTTGATCTCATGTTGCTTCTAACAAGCTCTTCTGAGCAGGGACCTTCGCTAGTCTGTCTTGAGACCCTTGGGGAAACCCTGTTTGAAGATGTTAGCTGGTGGCATTTGGGATTGCCCAGGCTTTCTTTGGGGTGATGCCAGCCCTTGGTGCTGTGGGTTGGCTGGGATCCCCTTTCCGATGCCGTGTATGGTGACAGACTGGACCTGGAGGCCAAGGGAAGCTTTTGGCCTGCGAGTGAAGGTCTCTTGCTCCCGTCCTTGGCAGCAACTTATGGGGCTGGCATTAGGAGCTTGTTACCTCTGACAAAGAGCTTTCCTAGGCACCGGTGTTGCTCTGTTCAGGCTGTTGTAAGGGCTCTGAGTAGCTGACTTCCCCTTCCCTGAGCAACTGTGCATCTTCCATTCTGTCACGCCTGTCGCAAGGACTTACCGAGCGACACATCATGGGACCATTTAGAGACCCAACAGGGATGCAGATTTCTATCTGCTTGGAAGAAACATCCATTCTGGGGTCTGAGCACACTCAGATCCTGAAATATTGAAAAGGGATGGTGCTTTCACATGGTTGAGGCACATGTGTGCCACCACACTCTGCACAGTCCTCCCCTGCAAGAGATGGCCGTGCGTCTTCTGGGAATGCACTGCAGGCGCTCCATGTAGCTCACGCTGAAGTGCAAGTGCCAAAGTCTTTGAGGCAGCCAGCAAGCCGAGACGCAGTGCCATTGCCTGCTCCATCTGGGCATGAGGTGGCCCTGGAGCGATGCATCAAAGCATCACACGAGGGGCTGGGCTGGGTGGGGAGACTGTAGGACTGAGCCTGGGCATGGAAAGTGTTTCTGGAGTGCTCCAGATAGCATCCTGCTTCCCTAGACAGGGCAAAGCAAAAGCTGGGGTGTGTGGTAGGGCCATCCGTACTGAGGGATCGGGGAGGGGATGGGAAGAATGCCAGTGTTGGAGGGAAGGATGTTCAGTGGTTGCATTCTGCAGCAGTCTTGAGAGATGCCAGGCTGGAGAAGGGCTCTGCACACTAATGGGGGGAGCTGGTAGCAGCCCACTGGGGTGTTCACAGGGTGATGGCAGCCCTTAATCTCAGCATGCGTGGAGAGCAAGAGGGGCAGAGGACCCCAAGACTTTCATGATCACTGTCCATCCTGGAGGGCTTAAGCTGCCCCCTGGGTTGATGTGAAGGGTACCTGGCAGGACTGTCTTGGGCACAGGCGCTCAAGGAGGTGTGTCTTCTGTAAATAGCAGAAACTTCCCTGCTTGGAGGAGTCTGAATCTGGCTGCCTCCAAAGAGTTACAGGGTGCAGAGGCTCTGCTGCATGCTCCTGTGTTTTCAGGTGGCTGCTGTCTCCAGCCCAGGAGCAGGACAAGCGTGTGCTGCTTGCTTTGGTGGCAAAAGAGGTTTAACGAGGTGTCGGATACAACCCACTTTGTCTGGGGAAGGGGAAATGGCTGAGCAAAAACTAAAATGTGGGAGCAGAGTGCTTTGCCCTGCAGATGTAATGGGGTCACTCCAGACTGGAAACAGGCCAGGAGATGGGCTCTGGCTTAGGGCTCCTGGTCCTGCTGCATGTTTTTGCAGCTCAAAAGCGTCTGGCACTGTTTGGTGCTGTTCTGAGCATTTGGGCATCAGTGCTGCCCCATGACCTTCTTGTGGCTTGTTTGGGACTGGCTCGGTGGGTGGCATCCCCATGCAAGGAAAAGCGAGGAACGCAGAGCTACATCTCATTCCCATAGTCTTCTGTCTTCCCTCGCCTATCTGTCAGTGCTGGCCGAGCTGTGCTTGTGGTCTCCTGGTCCTTGTTAATGATGACTAGTGTCTTGGTGACCTCTGTCGTGCATAACTTCCTTTTTCCAGCTCTGTGCTGATTTACAAGAAGTCTTGTCAGCTTCATCATGCTGCTTCCTATGGAAATAGGCTGCTGGCCAATGTCTCCTGGTGCAGGGAGAAGGTGGCAATGATGTTGAGCAGAGTTCTCCCAGGCCATGAGCCTTCAACACTGTTTCTTCTTCCTGGCTATTCATGTGAACTATTGTAGATAACTTCAACAGACTATCTATTGAAATCTTCCTCTGGTACTGTATTTCTGCTTATACATGCTGAGTGCACTTGGACTTGGTACATGACTTCTACAGCTTGGAAAGAGCAGCAGCTGATGTGGACTTGGGGCAGCACAGCTGGCTTTTGGCTGGGCACAACAGAACAAACACTGTAAGAGCTGGTTTGGGAGCAACTTCTGAAAGGTCTGATGTGTGTTGGTGAAGGAGCTGGGACGGACCCGAAAAATCATCCTCCCAGTGATGTTCTGGGGCTTTTGCAGAAGTCAAAAGATGCGAGTATAGCAGTGAGGTGTTTTTGAAAACTGAGGGCTGTCTTTGAATCAGTGGCTGAAGTAAAGTGCCAGGATAGGCTAAGGAAAGAAGATCTAGTTTATGATCTGTAGAAAGAGCTAGAGAGACAACTGGGGTTTGTACTGGTCTCTTCTGGATGTTTGATGTGTGTCAAACTCTGTGTTAGTGCTTTTGGCAGCAAATGGTCTTCTAGCAGTCTCTTCAAGTTCTAATCATCAAGGTCCAGTCAGACTGTGGGGTTGGTGTCCATGCCCTAATCAACCCAGACTATTCTGCTAGAGACTGAATTTTTGTAAAGGTCTAAATCCTTTGTTGCAGGGAGGAAAGGACTGGGTGTATTTTATTCTGGACAACGCTCCTCTAATGTAGGGAAGGATTAATGACTGCAAGGCCACCTTTGGTGCAAGGTGTCCTACTCTTATTGCACCTAGCTTTTGAACTGTGCTCTGTACTCCAACTTTGGTACTAAGCATCTCCTTTCAGTAGACCTCATTGACCTCTCTCCTAGGTACGGACGCTGTTTGTCAGTGGCCTTCCTGTGGATATCAAGCCCAGAGAGCTCTACCTACTCTTCCGACCATTCAAGGTAAGAAGGTCTTCAGATTTGGTCTTTGGTGGGAAAGATGTTGTCTTGTGGCCGACCTTGCAGCAAAGATCTGTCAGAGGGGAAGCAAGGATGAAGTGGGAAGGTAGGCCTTCTGTGACAGCCTGGGGAACCTGCTATGAAACCAGCATGGCATCCCATGGCTTGAGCTCAGCTGGGTAACCTCTCCTGCAGCCTGTTGAAATCACGCTGTCTCCAAGCTCGATGAAAGCTGCTTGGTCAGCCCTGCTGCCCAACTGGACCAGCCCTTCCTTGAGCATGTGTCCTGATCCCCCTAACTGTCCATCCTTCACTAGGTCACCACATAGGCTGTCCTTGGGGGAGGTGGGGTTCCCTTGTTTGCACTCTTCTAGCACAGGGTGCTCTGGGCTCCTTAGGCACTAGCCAGGCAGGGTGCTCGTCTTAGTAGCTTGATAAAGAGCTAGAAAATGTGATTTCTTCACAAAGGGCCAGAATGGACTAGCTAAGATACCTGCTCTGCCCTTAGTCTAATCTCAGTCTTCTCTTTTGGTGGGAAAGAAGAGAAACGTTAATGTACCTACTGTTGCTGCAAACTCTGCCTTATGAAGGAGTTGGTGCTACAGGAACTCCTGGAGCTGTCACGTCATGTCTTGGTTGTTACAACCAAGCTTGGCTCCTTCAGGAACCTGACACTGACTTGCTTTCTTCCCTTCTGCAGGGTTATGAAGGGTCACTGATCAAGCTAACTTCAAAGCAGGTACCTCCTTCTTCCAGTTTGTGAATTTTTGGTTTTTGCTGGAAAACCAGACGTGCCGGGAGGGGAGGGAAGGGGGGACCGATACCATTTCACTATGTAAAGCATTGTCTGTGCTCAGCACCATGTATACAGCTAGGTTCTGCTCACCCCCACCGTCCTGGTGGCCCCAAGCTCTCAGCACGTGCTGAATGGTTCCATATCTTCTATTGCTGCCCAGGCCCATATGGGCTGGGTGAGATCTGATGCTTCAGCCTCAAACCCTGTGCTGCCAGAAACCTTCCCCAGTCCCATCCTAATCAAGGCAGTAGTTACCCTTGTGGGCAAGGGGTACCCTTGCTGGGGGCTACCAGGGTGAGCAGTGACCCCACGTGTAGGAATGCCAAAGCATTTTGGTGTGGTGGGAGCAGACACAGAGCAGGAATCTTGGGCCGATGACCTAAGACCCTTCAAGCTCTGCTTGACGGCCCTCTGGAGCTTTAGATGGTCTGTTCTACTTGCTGTAAGCTGTCTGGGGCAGAGGGGGTGGCAGGGTAGTCTGAGGAGCTGGAATAGGCTTCCAAACTGAAATCAGCGTTATTTCTTTTAGCCAGTTGGTTTTGTGACCTTTGACAGCCGGGCTGGTGCTGAAGCAGCAAAGAACGCCTTGAATGTGAGTACCCGATGTGCCGGGAGGGGCTGGGGGGCATATGCCCTGCTGTAGCTACACCTGGAGCTGTGGGCTAGAGCGATGCTTGGCTTGTCCATAGCACGGGAAGGTTCAGGGTGTCTCAGCTGTGCCCTTGAGTACGGAAGCTAAATGGTCCTGCAGCATCCCACCAGGGAAGCAGGAGAGCTGTTTAAGGCTGACATCAGCCTGAGCAAATGGATGCAAACTGTCCTGTGCTTAGTGTAGGTGTAGTTTCTGACCGCTGGAAGACTGCTCCAGGGCCTCTGAGGGTGTGGGGAAAGAACAGCTACTTTTTTTTTTTTTCAAGTCGGCATGCACCTCCTTACTCAACAGTTGGCCTCTGATAACAGGATCCAGGCTGTCAATCCTGTTCCTTATCCATTAAGTGCTCCCCCCTGTATGGGGAAGAGTTGTGGACTGAGACACACACACACCCCCCCCTTGTTCAAATGAGCGTGGATTACCTACCTGTGTCAATGTGTGGCTGGAGCTACTCTTAAAGGAGCTTTTCGTCCCGCTGTCTGCACTGAGCACTGAGGTGGGGGCTCATCTTAACTTGACTGCTTGACTTGAGCTTGGCTTGGAGTACCTGAAGCAGGCAGGTCTTCTCTGGGGAACCACCCCTTAGCAAACAGATGAGAAGAGAGCTGTTGGGGGCATAGGTGGTTCCCAGGCATATACAGGCATAGGGCAATACCCAGTTGACACCCTGTAATGCTTTAATGAGGCATGTGGAGCTCCACTTGTGTTTAGCATCAGCTTTTTGAGGCTCTAGGTGGAGCTCACCAGGGTACATGGGTAGTGAAGCAAGCTGGTCTGTCATGTGGCTGTCGGACTCGCTTGGTGCTCGTGGCCTTGTTAAAGCCTCACTTACCGAATGCCCTGATGAAAACTGTGTGGCAGTTCAGCAAAGCAGGTCCTTGTCCTGGCCTCTGGCCTGCTGGGACCTCTGCAACCAGAAGGTACTTGCTTCAGAAAGGGAGGAAACCAGCCTTCCCATGCTGCTGTTTCCATGGCAGGGCATGAGGCAGGGCCAAAGCTGTCTGGTACAGGCTCTTTAGCACATTCACAGCATTTCCACACTGCTGCAGCTCAAGAAAAAGACTTGAGGATGGTCAACGTGGCAGGCACACCCAAAACGATCTCCATCCCATGTAGGCCTGCAGAAGTTAGTGGGATCTAGGCAGCAAGACATGCTGATCTGGCTCTGCTCTGCTGTAGAACTTGCCTTGAGCACTGGGGCACGTGCTAGTGTCTCTGCCCAGGCCGGCAGTAGATGTAGCAGCACCGCAGATAGGAGCTCCAGCATAGATGGGGCTATCCCAGCTCCAGCAGACAGATCTTTCCTGACCAGTGTTGGTAGCCATCACTGCTATGCTGGTTGGTGAACTGCACATAAGGAGCAAAACCGTGTCCCTCATGTTGGAAGCAGTGGTCCTAGGCCAGCTAAACATAGAAATACAAGCATGTGGGAGATTGAGCATTGCAGTGAGGTGACAAAGATCTGGGCATGTGACTGCAGTGTGATGGCCTTGGTTCCCCGGTTGGGCTTTGCTCCATGAATAGACACAGCCTGTGCTTGGACTGGAAACCTCACCTCTGAGAGACTCCTGTGCTTTCTTCTGTGACAGGGCATCCGCTTCGACCCAGAGAACCCCCAGACCTTGCGGTTAGAGTTTGCTAAAGCCAACACAAAGATGGCCAAGAGCAAGCTGATGGCCACGCCAAACCCCACCAATATCCACCCTGCCTTGGGCGCACACTTCATTGCACGGGACCCCTGTGAGTATGCTGGGAGGGACTTTGAGGTCGTGGCTGGCCCAACCTGGGAGATGCCCAACCCTGGGAATGCTGCCAGGGTAGAAAGGAAACCATACCGACGTATGCTCTGGCTGAAACCTGCCTGGTGCAGGAAGGCCAGCATGTTAGGGATGCAGGAGAATAACAGGCATCTGGTAAGGCTTCTGGCCAACACTAGAAGTGATGGGAGAGCAGAGTTGGTTTTGGTAGCTCAAGTGATACCGTAAGTCCTTTAAACCTTCTCTAGGTGTGAAGCAGAAAGGACGAGTCCTGTGCCATGCACCCTCAGCATAGCCTGGTGGGGCAAGCAGCCCTGCTGAGGCTTGTTGGGCAGCCTGTAACATGGTGCTGAGAGCCCTGTCTTCTGTCCTGCCATCCTGTGGCATCAGCCCTGTGCTGCGTGTGTGAACCAGCCTGCCCAAAGCCCATGTGGGGCCCTGAGCAGTGATGGAGCATGTTCCTGGCCTCCCTTGGCAAGGCTGGGAGGTCAGAGGAGCAGCTGGTCACAGAGATGCTGCAGGGGTGCTGTATGTTATACCTCACTGAGATGGCAGTGCAAAGCTTTAGTTTGGGGTTGGAAATCCAGAGCCTGTCCCCGAAGCAGGCTGTTGGGGCCAGCTACTGAGATGCTGTTACCTTGTCTCCCCCTGTCTAGATGACCTGACTGGAGCAGCTCTTATTCCAGCGTCTCCAGAAGCATGGGCTCCCTACCCACTGTACACCACGGAGCTAACCCCTGCCATCCCCCATGCTGCCTTCACGTACCCAGCAGCCGCCGCTGCGGCCGCTGCTCTTCACGCTCAGGTGAGTCACTCCCCGTGTCCCGTGCCAGGAACCGGGCTCTCCTCTCTGCCCTGCCCCGGTGCTCGCTCCTATGGGTCTCTGCTTGGCTGGTTCGACCCTGGCCTCCGCACCTTGGCTCCTGGGCAAAGCCTCCTCCCAGCTGAAGTGCATGGGGGGCCCCCCCAGCCCTGAGCAAACCGCAGGGGAGAGGTCTACATGGCTGAGAGTAGTCAGAGCTGGACGATGATTTCTGACCCTGCAGGTCCAGCCTGCTTCCCTGCGAGAGGCAGGCAGATGGCAGAAAGTAAGGGCTCAATTTCTGGCTGGCTTTGCTGGTCCCTGTGGCCGGAGAACTGTGTTGTGGGACTGCTGGGAGGAAATGCTACCTGCCAGCAAATAAAATAGCTATGAAATGTCCTCCTTGAAGTCACAGGGAAGGCAACAGGCTTAGTTTGGTGCTGAAGCTGAGGGGCTCAGCTGGGACCCCCTTGGGCCAAGTGACTCAAATACTTTTGAAGCTGGAGGAGGATGTCCTGCAGGAGTTGAGTGATCAGAGCCTTGCCACAGTGAGGAACTCTGATGGGACAGTGGTGTTGGCCACCCTGGATGCAGGCTAGAGAGGGTCACTCTGTGTATGAGCCTCTGGAAATGCTGGTGGTGGTGCAACCAGCTGCCTGGGGTCCCAGGGTATGCTTGCTGACAGCTGGAGGTGTAGGGATGCCTGTACTGGTCTGAAACTGGAAACATTAAATATACTGAGACCAACCCCCCTGCTGAGCATGAAGTCCCCGAAACCATGGAAATGCAAAGGGAAAGCCAAAACAGAGAAGTAGTGTCCTAATTCCAGATTAAGGTGCTTGGTTTGGAGCACTTGTACAGGAGAACCTGGAGCCCCTGTCCCTGCCCTGCCGGGTGTTACCAGCCAGCTGTGCTCTGCCTGCTTTGGTCTCTGCTCCTGTGGTAATGCCACGGGGGACTAGAGCAGTGGGACTCTGGGCTTAGACCTCAGAGCATCGGGGCTTAACCTCTGCTCTCTGCCCTGCCGAGCAGGGTGTTTAGCTCCACTCTTCCCTGCTTAAACTGAGAGGAAGAAGAGCTGTGCTCCCTCACCTTGTCCACCTGGCTGACGGTCAGCTCGGTTGGCCCTTGGGCATCCTCTTGCTTCCTGCCAGCATCTTGACTGTAACTGTCCAGCTTCAACCCAAGCTTGTTTCACAAATGCAATGTGGAGGGGATGCAAACTCCTGGCCTGTGTAGGCTTGTCTGTCCTGCCCCTTACACACCTGCAGGCCTCTACTGCTTTTGCCTTTCTACTAGTGAGCTAGCGTTGGGCTGAAGCTCCTGCAGGGTAGGCAAGAAGTACGTGGGGCCCAGGGCAGGACCAGGCACTGGCTTGTTCTTCCAAGGACCTCCAGAGCCAAGCTGGTCCTTCACTGGGAGGGTTGTGCTTGCTGGTGTTCTCCAAAAGTTATTGATGGTGCCCATAACTACAGGAGTGTGCTCTGCTTCTGGGTAGCCCAGGAGAGCAGATGTCTTCCTTTCCCTGCCCCTTGTGTGTAGGGTGGTGGAGCCAAGGGCTGTTGCTGGTTGAATTGCCCCTGGCAGGGAGGACCAGGATAAAAAACCCCTCTGGCCTGGCTGAGGTGGCTGAGGGAGGTGAAACCATTACTGCAGTTCCTTCAAGGATGATCATCAGTGACTGTGTGGGGACCCTGAGTGTAAGGGTTAGACACCAAAACTTTATGGTGCATGGTGGGGGAGAAAAACTCTGCTCTCCTGAAGTGGGAGGGTATCAAGGAGGCCTTCAGCCAGATCTTCTCCCTCTGGGGTCTTAGTTCCTGCCCTCCAGTTGGCAAGCTACTGGCTTTCAAAGAGGTCTTCTGGCCTGAAGAATGACCCTGAGGCTCCAGGGAGCTCCCTGTATAGGTAGGACTCCCTGCCCAAGGAGGTCCATAAGTGGTGACGTGCCCCTAAGCCTTAGGGAGCCAGTGTAGCCCCTCCAGGCTGTGGCCATGGCTGGACCCAGCTCTCTTCTGAAGAGCAGCTGGGCTAGCCGCACAGTTACAGCCGCTCCTTGCTGCATTGTGCCTGAGCCGGCAGTGACCTCGCAGGGAGACATTCTGGCGCAGTATACGTTACCAATAAAGTTTTATGGGGTTAAACATTACTCAGGCTGGCAGCTCTGAGCTGCCTGGTCTCTAGGCTGGAGCCCTCTCCCTTGCAGAGCCAGGGAGGGTGGAGCGAGTCAGTGAGATGACTTTTGCTCACAAACTGGGCTGAAAGGTGCAACCTTAGTCTTGGTGTGCTGAGCCCTCTGCTCTCACTGTTAGGGGCTGGTTTGCCTTGCTGGGCGGGGGGGCGTGGGCACATGGGTTGTTCTCCAGGACAGCTGCAGTTCTTCCTCCTGAGACTGGTGTTGGCTGGAGGACGTTCATGGAGATGGCCAGAGCTGTAGCAGCTCCACAGCAACCAGTCCTGAAGCAGGCATGAAGTTGGAGGCTGTAGCTAAACTGAGAGCTTGTCGCAAAAGATTTAAACCTGAAGTGCTCGTCCTCTCGCAGCTCTGTGTTCAAGTCTGGTAGTGAGCGGGAGAGGAGGTGTCCGCCCTCTGCGATGCACCTATGCAACCTCCTGAAGAGCTGCCCAGAGGGCTGGCAGGAGTGACGAGGGGCAGGAGATGGTGCGAGGCTGGCCTGGCCTCGGCTCGTGCACTGGGAGCTGTTGGTAAGCTGCTCGCAGACGAGACTGATGGTGGCTGCTCCCGGCACTGCCGTGCCACGGTGATGCTCCCGGCAGGCACCAGGCTGCTGTAGATGTGACTGTGGCCTGACCCTGCACTGCTAAGAGCCTCTACCTGTGGGGACTCCACTGACTTTAAGACTGTCCCATCTGCCTTCCCTCCCACCCTCTCTCAAATCCCTCCTTTGATGTCCCTAGTGAACTCCAGCCATGATGCCAGCGCAGGCTAGCCCTGAAGCTCAGAGCTGTCCCTGGAGATGGGACACCCTAGTGATGCCTTATTGCAGCTAGTGGAGTGGCTGTACTACAGCTCCATTCCTAGAAGTGTTAAGCATGATGGCAGCCACGTCTGGAAAGACTGGTAAGGTAACCATCTCTCCTCCAAGGTGCACCATGGGATTTGCAAGCTTCTGCCCATCTCTGTAGCCCGTATCTCCTTGGCAACCCAGTGCATGGGCCTCACGCTACCCACCCACCAGAGCCTGGGGAATGAGATACCAGGCCTTCTTTCTAACCCACATCTCCAACTTGGCAGCACATGACATGGCGCACACAGCATGGCACCATCTTACATCAACTCCTCCCAGCTGAGCCAGGCTCAGCCAGGTCCCGCTGGTGGGAAGGGAGCAGCCCGGTTGAGCCGAGGCAGAGACAACCCTGCCGCTCGGCATGAAAGAAACCTGGTTTCTCCCCAACCACGACCCTTTGAGGGCAACCAGAAATACACCTTGACCTCACTCCTGGCACACGGTGGGGGAGGTGAGTGACGTGATAGTGATAGCACACAACTAAATTCTAGCGGGCACGTTAGACAACAGCACTTGCCGGTCACTTTGTTCCAGAATTGCATACCGGGACAGACCCTGCCCTTAATCATGGGTCTAATCTTACCTCTTTCCTCTCCAGTTACTGGAAACAGAGCAAGTTCCTACCTGGAGCTTGGCTTCTCTCTTGCAACCTGAAATCACAGGCAGGACACAGGTCTTGTGAGCCGTAACGAAGGGAACGGGCAGCCTGGGAGAGATGGGAGCGGCATAGGAAACTGGGAGCTTGGGAAGAGGGAAGATGGCCTGGCCTGGGACTGGTTGGCAGGGAGGATGGTTGCTGTGGTCAGCTCTAACTGAAGGAACAGAGTCCTGGCTCACTCTCCTACCATTCTGGGTAGACTTTTTTCCTCTGTGTGGTAGTGATGTAAGTCATCAAAGATGGGGGCCCAGGTCTGCCTTTGCTCTTGAAAGACTGGGAGGTGCAAAGATGTGCAGAGTTGGTCCCCTGGGAAGATGGGGAGAGCTTGACACAAGCATAGAGGCAATGATACAGCTTGTCTTGTTCTGCTTGGACCTGGTGAACAGCTTCATCTGCTGCCTGTGTGATGGAGTTGGGCTGCATTGCGTCTTTGATGTGAAACCACTTGTTTTGGAGTGCCTCTAAGCCAGGCTCTGGGCAGTAGGAGACACCAGGGGCTATCAATGCTCCTGGAGCTCTTCTGCAAAGAGATGCTTCCAGCTGTGGCAGCACCCTTGAGGGCTGAACTCTATGGGCAGGACTTGCCCTGGAAAGCAGGGGCTGGATGCAGGATTGTTTCATAAGAACATGGGTGAGGCTGGTGGTGGTTACCACGTGGTGCTTGTAGGAGACTAGGCTGATGTGTTGGGTACCCAGAGCCCAGGAGACTGTCTGTGGTAGATGCTTCCAAGGCAGGGAGCAGGTCATGGACTGAAAGCTCACAGATGCCAATCCTTTTGGGGGTGGGCTGCCCAAGGTGCCCTCAGAGCATCCACGTTGCTGCTGTTAGCAGCTTCCAGGAGATGGTGGAGGTGGGTCTCTGATGCTGGGACCTGTCCAAGTGAGTGGTGGGTGGAAGGAGCAGTCCTGGATCATGGCTACGTGGTGGTGGTGCAAGAGCCCAGCAGGACCCTGAGGCTTCCCAGCACTGAGTTGAGGCAGAGCCCATTGATGGAAGGAGAGGTCAGTGCTCCAAAAAAAACCCTTTCCCTCTTGTTTGCTGCCTGGGCTGGCTCAGAGCAAGCTGATCTCCTGAGGGAAGGAGAGGTCAGTGCTCCAAAAAAACCCTTTCCCTCTTGTTTGCTGCCTGGGCTGGCTCAGAGCAAGCTGGATCTCCTGAGCAGCGGCTGCTGTTGTGGATGGACACGAGGCAGATCCCAGTGGCTGTGATCTGGTGCTGGCCCTAGAGAACTGGGAGTGTGGGGAAGATCTGCTGGGGTGATCTCAGGTGCTGTGCTCCTCCTCGAGTACTGCCTTCTGTTGGGATGCTGCTGTTT